AAGTTTTAAAATGTCATAATGAAAATAACAATTTCTGGACAGTACAAACATGAATGTTTCGTATGTCATTCTCTGTACGTTTTAACTTTTGTTAATATTAGAAAATTTAGTAACAGCTACTTCATAATTTTGATGCACACCCGTGAATTAACTGCCATTACTTTAAGAGAATGCAACCTTTAATAACCAACGTGTCAAATGCTGCTATTGAAAAGTTTTGGTGGACATTTTTCAAACTTAATAAGAATAGAACTTTCAAACATAACTGACTCTTTAAAAACAATGAGGAAGATAGGGCCGGCCGAGTGGCTCAGTTGGTTACGAGATCGCTCAAGAGTGCGAGCTCTGAGCAACAGCGGTTCTATTCCCGGCCCAAGCTGAGCTGCCACTGAGCTGCCAACAGGTGGCAGGATGGCTCAGCTAAAAAATAATAATAATAATAAATAATATAAAAATAAAAACAATGAGGAAGAAAGAGTATCCAGGAGTCAGAGCGGACTGATGTGGAAAGCCAGGCCTGCACCTCTCTCACTCAGGCTTCACAGCAGGCTCTAAATTAATGTCCCTGCCTCTGGTTTTGCCTCTCTCCTCACCAACCTCCAAAAACAGTTGGGGAGATCTTTCCAAAGTGTAAATATGAACGATCCCAGTGTGCTCCCCATAGCCCACAGATGAACCTCACTCCTCCATGGAATACTGATCCGGGGCCTGCCTTCCTCCAGTGGCAGTTCCCATTCCATGCTGCAAACTAGATGGCGTTCTTCATGGTTCCTCAAACACCCCCTGTTATTTCAGTGGAAATTCTGTCTTCCTCTGTGCTCAATTTTAATGGAACCTCCTTCATGATGATTTCTTTAGTTCTCCCTTCGTCTTTCACTGTGCAGTCTTTGCACCACTCTGTTAAAGTTCTACTGCCGAGTCCCCCCCTTCTCCCCCAAGCTGGAGACAATCCACTGGAAATCTTGTATTTTCCCCCAAATGTAGCCAAAAATAACAGAAAAGTTTAGTGTTCCTGAAGAACACTCTGCTTACTTAACTCTCTATGCCTGACATCTACTAAAGGGTCCACAATGCACTGGATTCTCAATGGAAAGTTTACAGGACTGAATTAAATCATCACTTCTGTGCTTTTGGAGTTCAAATCTACATGGAAATCTTAAAACTTTTACTAAAACAAATTTTGTTATAAAAATTTAAATGAAACTAAAGCCCACACATTTGGGAGTGATCTGGTTCACAAACAGGCATTTTGAGAGCCACTGCAGTTAGCAGAAGCATAAAGCTGACCTTTGGAATTTATTCCAACAGATTTTCAAGAGTGTGACTTTGGTAGTTAGGATGACTCACGCATAACTGTGACATGAGAATGACCACTCTCTTCTTGAGTCTGTTTTCTTCAGAGGAATATGGCAGAACAGGCTACAGAACTCAGGTAACATGGCTTTTAAAATGGAAAATGAGGGCTTCCCTGTGAAGGCTGGGAGAGACAGCCAAGAGGCAGCCATCTCATCTTCCTTCTGCCTCAAGCAGTGTGGTTTTTCTACCCTTATTCAACCGAACAGCCGAAGAGGCCATTGCTAAGGATGAGAGGGTGAGCTTTGATTAAAACAACCTTTACTTTTTCATGCATTGAAAGTTTCAAGTGCGATTTCAATCTGAAACATGAGTTTTGCCGCTTCAAAAGGGCTGGAAAACCACTAGCCTAAAAAGTTCTACCACACCCTTCCCCAGGAAGTGAAGACAGGCTTATAGGCAAGAGGGATCACATAGAAGCCACACCTGGCAGTGGCCCAGGTGTAAGCAAACCATGTATTCAAACTCCAAGGGAGGGCAGGGAAATGGAGCTTGGCTTCAGTCTTCACAGGAGGGCCATGGGCCTTTGTCCACCCCAGAGAACGGAAATCCTTTGACTTCTGAACATGTGGCGAAATGGTGAGCAGCTTGGCTGAGGCAGGCACTGCAGGGACAGGTCCTGAGATGGTCAGTCACCAGCCGCCTTCTCCAAGAAGCCCTGCCACATCTTCTCAGGCAAAGCACCAGTGTGTCTTTTAAGCTTGGATACTTACTGCCACCCCTACCACCCACCCAGAAGCTATCCTTGTTGTCGGCTGGGATGACTTCAATTTTCTGTAGCAAGTTTATCACACTGGTTATATGGGGGAGGCCAAGAAGACATAGCTGTCAGCCTCCTGACCCCACAACAAATTCAACAAGGATACTGATCCCTGCCTCCCACGAACGTGCTGTTAAACTCCAGAGCTGACCAAGAAAGCGCGGAGACAGGGGTGAGATCTACCTCTCCTACAAGGCCACGAGACCTGAGCCCACTTCGCGGGGATAGCTGCCTAGGAAGATCAACGAGGGCATCTTTACCACCGAATGCCACGGAAGGTGAAGGCAGCAGCATCGCCTTCGGCAGATGACAGACAGCCTGATTCTCCTCAGTTATCCTAATGCCCTTAAAGTGGTGACATGGCAGCTCGGCAGATAGGATCACATCATCCCCTAAGTTACTGATGATCACCACAGTGTCAATCAAATTAAATCCACATTTTGACCAAGAGCCCAAACTTAAAAAAATCGTCCTTCTAAAATGTGGGTGCTGAGGGAAGGCTGGTGTCAAGGGCTGCCTGCCTAGATCCAAGAAACATGCAGGTTCTCAGGCTCTCTATAGTGTGTGCCGGCATGAGGCCTTCCGCTTGACAACACTCCTCCATCTCCACTAGATAAAACCCTGTCTGAATGAGCAGTGGTTTAGGATTCAAAAAGATCTGAGTTCAAATCCTGACTCTGACCCTTAACTAGGCCTGGTGGCTTTCGGCAAGTCAACTCCTAGAACCCGGGCTGCCTAAAGGTTATTCCTCAAAATCCAAATAACGGAGCTTACTTTGTGGTGTGGGTAAAGGAGAAAACACACAAGAGGCTCTGCTCCACACTAACTCCTGCCTTTCGGCTCCCAAACACCACGCTGCTTGTCCCTGGGATTCGCTCCACATTTTATTTTGGCTCTTTCTGCTAACACTTTTCCAACAGTGTCCTGTATTTCACATTCCCATTTACATGGCCTGCTCTGTGAATAGGGGGGTTGGCTGTTAACTGCCCACCGTGATGCGCGATATGCCTGGAACACTCAACTGGTATTAGCTGATGGAAAGAACAAAGGCCTCCATTTTCCCAAAAATAACGTGGTAGGGAGGAAGGAAAGACACGACAAGAAGATGGAGGTGGTTCTTGGAGCTGAAATGCTGAGCCAGTTGCTACTCGACTGCCTCTATTTCCGCCTCCTCCTTGTGTCTGCCCCAAAGGAGAGTGAGCCCGGGCTGCCAGTGAGAGGAAGTCTTCTTGTTTTTTGTGTTTTTTTTTTTAAGAACAAACACAATTACAACTGTATGTTTGTGTGTGTGCTATGTATAAAGTAATGGTAAAAGGGTTTCCATTGAGGAAGAATCTGAAAATCACCAAACCAAATGAGAATATGAGTGCTTCCCTTCTGAACAGGAGAGCTTCGTTCATCACTTAGAGGGCCTTGGGTCTAGGGCTGTGTACCCTGGAGAGCCTAGGTGAACCACGCATGTGGAAACAGAGCAATTCATAACATCACAGATGGAAACACAAAATTGATGTCTATAAACTTCTTTGTACATCATAAATCCGTTAGCTCAGAGAAACTAGAAACAGAGTCAGAACTTGAGCAAACACTGTGGTAGTTATATCCACGTAGAGAGGACTGCACCTTTGGTTAAAAAGCAGGATCTAAGAAGTTATCTTAGTCTTCCAACTGCTCAGCCAGTGCAGCTAAAAGCCAGCCACCGTCAGCCACACGTGCGAGCGAGCCAGCATGCTGCCCACTGCAGAGGGCACACCAAATGCTCCTGCCTGGTCACTAGGCCTACTCCACAGCCAGCCTCATTTGCATTAAAAAAGTTGGAGGACTTTGGGGAGGGTCCCAGTGTTCACCCCTCAGTGCTGTGAAAATACACTTTGTTCTCTAGGTTTAGAACAAACACATCCATTTACTGAATGTATGGGAGAATATAGAACAGAACAAAAAAATGGCATATGGGAAAGGCAACAATAGGAACTACAAATTTGTTTTTATTATAAAGTAAAACTCCTCCAAACAATAATCCCTTTGCATTTCTAAAACAGGGCATCATGAAGCAAAAGTTGTGGGCTTTACTGCCAACTTTGGAAAGGGGAAAAAAAGGGAGAAGCTGCATTTTAAAGACTGTCCATGCCTCAATTTTTGCTATGAAATGTATTTGAAGAGATGGGAAAATGAGGCACATGCAAAAAAAAAAAAAAAATTAAAGTAAACTCAAGTACAAATGGAATTGCAAACATGGATTTGATCAGGAGCTTTCTCATCTTTAAAATCCATCTTTGAAAATGTTTTTTAAGGCCTCCACCTACATTTCTTTTTTAATAACTTAGAAAACAATATTAAGCAATGTGGAAGAAATCTCGCAGAAAATACTCTATGTTGGAAGAACACATAAAAAACTAGATGGACAAGGCGTATTTTTCGTAAGTATTCTTGAAAATACGTCAAAATCACAAAATAGTTCGTAAATATTTCTTTAAACAAATTCCATGATGACCGCTGTGGAAATGATTCTCGTTTGTAATTTCTACACCAACTTCGTGTCTCTGAACTTTTTCACCTCTCCTAGCTTGGTGGATATTCGGAGGGTTAAAAAAAAAAAATCAGGTTTCTGTGCTGGAAAGTTATTAAGACCAGCTCTCTGCTGCATTTGCATTGTTATTAGGGACACACACACACACACACACACACACACACACACACACACGCACACACAGAGCTTAATGTGAGGCTAGTACAGAAACAGAGAGATTAGACACAAAGAAATGTAAACAGCTCTCACATGCGAGGAAACTAGGTTACAAGAATCCCAGGCACCAGGCATTCACCAGTCACCATGGAAAACAGGAAGTGAGATGCATAGCAACCACAAGCCAAAAAGCAGGAAAGCGCATACCTTTAGCTTGGAATGAAAATCACGAGATTTCCTTCTGGCAAGAACCTGAATGTGACTAGACACCTGCAGGGTAGGGGAAGGGAGGAAAACAAAGGAAAAGCCTGTAACCATGGAGATGAAAAGCCCCCTACAACTGGGCAAGCCAGACGTACCTTAATGGCGGCTTGAATTTCTCGAACTTTCTTTCTTGCTAAGACCTGTATATGACTAGACACCTACATTGTTCGGGTTTATGAGGGGAAACAAAACAAAACAAAAAAAACAAAACAAAACAAAAAAAGGAAATCAAATATAAAATTGCTACTCCTTAGGAGGGTGTGGGGTGGGGATGGGGGAGGGAGGTTATTTGCATCTCAACAAAGCTCTGCAGTTAGGAATCCACAGTCCCAGCCAGACACCAAGCCCCCAGCGCTGCTCTAAGCTTTTCAGACTGGGTCATCACTGCAGTGACTTGATTCAGGAGGAAAGTTTAGGCTCATCGAGTTTTTTTTTCTCACCCGGGAGCAATCATGGGCATGGGATGAGAGGGGGAGAGTGGGGTTGTTTTCTTTGTAAAATTAAAAAGGTGGGGGTAGCGGTAAATGAAAATATTTATAGCTTCTCAGTATCAGGAGGGAAAATCCCTTTTTCTCCATTTAGAAGAGACGATCCATAAATTAGCACAGTCTGCAGAATCAAAAAGCTGAAGCTGTCGGTTGTATTCTGATCTCATTAAGAGGCTCTGGATTCTGTAGCAAATGTTAAAATAATACTGACATGTAAATGAGATCTCAAAGTGAAATGGAAAGACCCAGTTAGCAGAGCATTTTTTTTTCCCCCTTATAAATATCTTTAATCCTTCCACTCTTTTGGGTATTGACTGGGTGCCAAGTGGATTTACATATGATTACAAAGCGCAAAGTGTGAATACAGCCAGCCAGCCATCCTGTTAAAAATCTGGGTTGAAAACCACACGGATTTGCTGAACAACAATTTCGCATTGGAGAGGTATCACCAACTGCTGCCTAAAAACATCCCCAGGATGCCGGGGTGTGGAAACCAAGCCAAGCCTGGCTTCTGAAACAATGATTCCACTGGGTAAACAAATTTGCATCTCTTTCGGAGGGGCTGGGTTAAATTTAGAAGAGTCCCCCATGGAAGGGGTTGGGCACATGACCAGAGCTCACAGGCCAGCAGACAGTCCAGGTCCAGCACTTTCAGTATGTTGGGAATTAGAGCTTGTCTGTTTTTGCCCGTTTCAGAAATTTAGAACCTTCCATGTAAAAAGTTCAGCGACTCAGGCTCGTGCGAGACAATTACTTCATGTTCAACACTCGAGCAACTCTTAACACGCAGGATTTATGAAAGATCCTTTTATCTTTCACTTTGTCTTTTGAGTGTAAATTGTTAATTTTTTTTTTTCCAATTTGCCTTTTTTTTTAAAGTATGGAGAAGCAGGAACTCTCCCATCCTCTTCACCCCTCCATCCGGCTCCTGCTTTTATTTGCATTCACCCGATTTGATTCTTATGTGATTTGCTGACTTAATGAGGACCACTGGCCACTGTCGGGGAAGCATCCACCGAACAGACAATGCCCTGCCTCCTCTGCACGCTGGCAGGAGGCCACTTCCCTCTGTGCTGACTCAGCAGCCAGGCTCCAGGCTGGGGCACATGTAGCATTCCTGGGGAAAAGCTCTCCCCCGTCATAAACACTCATAAAAACGACTCATCACCGAGCAGAGGACTGGAGTCTACTGCTCAGGCTGCACGAAACCAAGTGGAGCTTGCCTTTTGGTTTGAGTATCGTTTTTTAAAAATCCATGTCAGATCCATTAGCGCAGGTAAACATTAAAAAATAATTTTTTTTCCTGTTAACAACTCACCCATGAGGTTTGTCTGATATTTCCCGCCCCCCTTCCACTTTCTTTTTCTGTTTTTAGTTAAATCCCAGTTTCTCATCCATTCCAGTTCTGAACTGGGTGCAAGATTTTGGGGGCTGCTTTACATCAGAAAGGAGGAGGAGAGCCAGAGCCCTGACAAAGGGCAGAGGAAAATCCCTGACACTGCTCTGCACAAAGGTATTTAAGTTGTAACTTCATTTCAGTCACAGCAGCTACTGACAAAAAGCCATAGCTTAAGGAGCAACCGTTCCCTGGATGCACATCATTCAGCACCATCGTCAGGCCAATCCTCGCGGCTGCTAGTGTTACTTTTTCACCGAAATGATGACTCATACATAACTGTTCCAGGATTTTTTTTACAATGCGCAAAATCTCAAGATTTCATGACTTGCAAGTATATGTGCACCTGTAGCTTTTGCAGTATTTGCAGATGCACAGTTTGGGAAAGACATCAAGCTTTTAAAATAGAGCACAGGAGCAGTTCATACACTGACTGCCCTGAGCAGTAACACTTTCCCATATATGTATAAAAAGAACTCGGGAGACCACTTAGTAAAGGGTCACTGAAATGATGAACAGTGAAAACTGAGCCAATTTAAAACACCAATTGAAAACAGCACTGACGTCCTCACAGGGAACTCAAATTGGGGGCTCCTAGGAGCCAAAAGCACAGCCAGCCACTGCAGCCAAAATGCCTCTTTGGGCCATTCGCTGACATGCACAATTTCCAGGTAGGTTATTTTACCTGTTTTCTGGTCCTCGTCTTCCCTGTCCTGAGTTTGATGTATCTGGCTATCAATTCATTCCTACCTGAAAGAAAGAAGAATTTACAATAAGATGGGTTACAAAAAAAAAAAAGGGCATCTGAAAGCTAAGAACAGAATTCAGAATCAGTTGCAGCCATAAGCTTATTAACACTAGAAAAAAAATAAAACAGTAGTTGTTTGTAAAAATACTAAGGGAAATTGGGACGAGGGGCATTTAATTATGAACTATGATCAGCAATGGAGGACAGAGATGTGCTTTTTTTAAAATGTGCCTTTTTGTTTCTTGGCATGCTTGTATCTAAATGGATGGTCACTTGTATAAGCACCAAACACAAGGATTCGTGTGCGGGTCCACAAACCCGGTTCTGTTTAGTCTTATTTTTCGTATTCATTCCTCCTCACCCAGGTTTCTATTTCTAGTTACCTCCACTTAACAGTCACTACAGCCACAAAAGAATGAACTGCTGTGACCGGGGAAAGCCTACAATAAGAAGTTAACAGTATGAAAGCAGACACCCCCTGAAGGTAGTCACTACACTGGTAACTAACTATACAGAAGATCATGTCTTTGAAAAAAAATGACTCAGCCTCCTCAAAGCTTTATAACCTTTGGGGGAAAGAACATGCCTAAAAGTACCAACAAATGTCTCCTATCTGTACCACCCTGAGACTGAGAGGTTTCAAACAGATAACCTGACTCCGAAGGACTGTAATCTCATGGGAAAGTGTGGCCTCAAAGCTAAGTGGGGGAAATGTAATATGCCATGAAGTAAAACCCCACTCATACAGGACATGAGTCCAAACTGTAACTACAATCATAACTGTATGGCTAGTTGTGTAACTTGCGTTTGCAGTCTTAATTCCCAGACGTGCTGCATACCTGAAGAGAGCACGAGCTTCATGTCATACCCCAAAGCCTCCCCAGGGCCCAGGAAGAGGAAATAATAACACAGCCTCTGGTGAAAGAGAAGGACCAGATCTCCCCTGGCAGAGTCAAGAATTGGCAGCACTGCTGAGGACCAATGCGAGAGTGTCCGTACGGAAATCTTGCCTGAGAAGTTAAATGCTCCCCCCATCACTGCCTAGAATGTTCCTGTAATCATGGTTCCGTCCACCACCTGCCTATGTTAGGACCGTGCAATATACGATCACCACTGGAAGGCAAACGAGTGGTGGAATGTCGGGGCTGGAAAAGTACCTTGGGTCATCCATTCCCACCCCTAAAAATCAAAGCCCTTATTAGCCGAAGCCAGCACTTCTAGAATTCAGGAAGCTGTCCATTTTACCTTAAAACATTTAAGAATAAAAAGACCCTCCTTATCTGTGGCTTTCTGTAACTTTCCATCCTCAAATTCTTCTTGTTCCTCTTAACAAGAAACCAAGCTAGTTCCTTATGCACATGACTGACTTTGAGATACTAATGAGTTCTCAGGTCCCCCTGGAGTTGTGTCCAGGCTGAACCTCCCCTGGTTCCTTTGTTATCTGTGACAAGCTTTGCAACACGCCCCCATACATCCTGTGACCATCCTTTGTCTACTTTCCTTTCATAGATTGGAGCCCAGAACTGGAGTGATGCTCTTGTATGACAGGACCACAGCAGAGTGGGTCTATCACCTCTCTCATCCTTAATGCTCCACTTCTGTCAGTGGCAGCCTAACACTGCATTTGATTTTGCGGGGCCACAATAAATGGTCAATTTAGGTCAATTTGAACTCTTAAGGCTTTTTCATATGGACTGCTCATCAGATATAACCCTACCCCTGTGCCCAGTCTTTTCATGCATAGTTAGGATTTTCAGGTCCAAATACAGAACCTCGCATTTCTTTCTATTGCATTTCATCCTGATAATTTAAGCCTATCATTCCAGCCTGTCAGGAGCTTCTCAGATCCTCATTCTGTGACTGAACTTACCCTTTAGCCGTAGGAAAAGGACTTCAAAATTCAGTTTTGAGGACTGCTTCTCTAAGGATTCTCTTTCAAACTTTTGAGACCTGCCAATATGTTCTGTAGTGTCATCAGGTCTACTTCTCCATCTCTCAGATGGTTGTACAGATTTTGCAATTTGTCTCAAAGGCTCACTGATAGCAGGGTCCAGATAGGAGTGCCTAATCACCAGAAGCTAGACCTAAATGACAGTGTCTGCAGACGAGCCAAGCATCCTCCATCTCGGGGCCTCGCTGTGCATGCACCCTGCTCAGGGCTGTCTGAGTGGCCAAGGCAAAATAAATCCAGGGCTCCATGCAATTTCATCTGAACCTTGTCCAGATGGCAAAAATGTCTCTTGCCCCCATATTTGGGCTTATTTTCTGTGAAAGCAGTCAGAAATGGCTGGTTAGGTGCGACATATCACCCATATCATTTTTAATTTCTCCTGGCATTTGGTTGACTGGATGAGATCAATATCCAGCACAGCCACATTTGACTGTACATCCTGTAGTCTGTGCGGATGACATCCCTTGGAGTTAAACAATGTCAACTCATACTTTGATTACGGTACTTATAAAAATTGCTACTTCTACAACGGCCCTCCCTGAGTGCTATGTACAGAGCACTATGCTGCAGTTATCATTCCACTGAAAGCCTATCATAGCTCTCATACCCCTGTGCTTTACATGAGTAAGATCACCTTTCACAACCCGTGTCCTTTCTTTCATACCAGGTTTTAAGCCATGACGAGTAATTACCTCGAGGTTCCTGTGTGTTTCTTCTTGCCACCATAAGGAATATCGCTAATTCTTTTTTTAATTCAAATTCAACTGACACTAAGCATCTACTGTGATCTAGGAAATAAAGTGTTAATCACTTTATTTCAGGAGACTTTAATGATCATGAGGGTGGCTTTGCACACAGAAAACACTACTCAGGTTTATCTAGTTTTTTAAAATGTGTATTTCATTTGTTTAGTTGTTAAGAAAAAAACTTAAATACCTTTAAGTTCTAAGTTCAACTCAAAAACATAATTTTTACAATCACTTTCAAAAGTTCATTCGAATAATGTTTGGACCATTTTACAAACTTAAACTCCTTTAAATATTTAAATCTATGTATTCAATTCTGTTAAATATTAGAGCTGTTTAATTCAACTTACAAAACCTTCCCTTAAGCAACTCTTAGAAACCTAATAAATTATCTTAAATTCTCTAATCTTCCTTACAAATCTAGTGAGACTTCAACCCTTCCAAAAAAGTAAGTCTAAATCAATTACCCCATGCACATATTAATTTAGAAAAACAGGCTAACCTGTTTAAGGGGCCAAATTATTTTAAATAATTACTTGGAATATCAAATGAGCATAAATCCTTTAAATAAAAAGCATTAACACTATAGCTTTGATTCTCTTAAAATCTCCTATTTTCAACGCTAAATCTTCCCAGAATTAAAATATGCTTACCCTTTGGGGAAACAAATATGCCATTCCAAATGGCTTTGGAGTATCTTTTTGGCTGCTTGGGGTTGTACAAATTTTAGGGAAATCAACTAGGTTCTGAATGGATTCTTGTCAGCGACCCTGATAGGATGTCCTGAGACCTCTTTACACGTCTATAGCACAACCCTCTAAATGGCATGTATCCATATAGTCCAGTGCCCTGGATTTGAATCATGGTACTAAGCTGTAAAAGTCCCTTCCTAAGAACTGGGAGCTCAGCAGCCCCAGTCATCAATGATGTAACTGGCAGTGGACCTCTGGTCCACACAGTACAGTCTTGTTTTGCAGCCATGATCAGGATGTTGTGCATTAGAAATGTTAACCCTCACTTCTGTCTCTGTCCCAACACACACACACACACACACACACACACACACACACACACACACACACGGTAGTGTTTCCTCCAGTAAGCCTTGCATTACAAAAATGATTGTCAACAAAGTTAACTTTAAAGTTAATCCTGGTATTCTTACACTAGTCATACAGTCATGCGGAGACCATCTACTTTGCACCTTATGATGCCTGTCTGGTGCATCAGGGATATAAAGAGAGAACAGACAGCCTGCCTGCCCACAGAGTCCAACATAAGGGCTAAGATACAAGAGCAAATCAGCTCTACACATTGGACGACAACTAATGCCATGAGAGAGGTTCTGGAACACACATCGGTAATTGGCCACAAATAATTCAGAAAATCTAGAAAGCGTTCCCAAAAGTACTGGAACATAAGTGGGCCTTTCAGGATAGATTACATTTTCTCCATCATTTTATTATGGAAAATTTCAGACACACAGAAAACTTTTTTACAGAACAAATTTTACATCGTCATTGTTGCATTTCAAAATAAATGGCAGGCATAATAACACTTCTCGCTAAAAACTTCAGTGTGCGTGTCCTAACTATAGTGATTAAGACTGATTTTGACAGGCAGAAGGGGGAGGGGGTGCACGTTGAAGATCATTTTAGACAGAGGATGCAACATGTCTTGAAATACATAAGTAGTGAACTGGGACTCTTTAAAAAAAATTACACCTGCTAACCCTTAAGCTCCCTGGACCGCTGCATCCTCTTTCTGAGCCCAGGAGTCTCTAGGTTCTACATGCATAGCATACACAGCATTTGTGGTTCATCTCCTTCATTCTTCTCTATAAAGCCTTGTAATAGCTGATAGAGCTGAGTGGCCATGTCACACTTCACCACTAAGTGTCATTACACTACTGTTTCTCTGTAGCATAAAATTCCTTTTAGGAATGACACCCTATCCTTTCTCTGAGTCTGAGGTACTGCAGCTGAAGCTGGCTTTGCTTTTCCCACAGGCAGTAGGCAGCAGCAAAGATAAACACAGCCTGACCTGCCACTTTTATACTGTGATCCTTACCAGGCACTGCAACCCAGTTTTTATTTTATTTTTCCTTTCTCCTAGATAACGTAACACAGTTGAAAGTCAGCCCATCATCGGCTTCTCCTGCATCCCGGATTGCGGTGAAATTTTCTGCTAAAGGGGCAATTCAGGGAGAGGTCCCTGCAGAAAGGCCTGGAGTTTGCACTGTGTTTGCCTTACCCAGACAGAAGACTGGTTAACATTGTTGTGGGCTGTGTGTGTAATGGGATGTGGCCTCAAGGTCATGTTTGAGGCACAGCAAATGCATGGTCTGTGGCTAGAAATTGTAGCCCAGAAACAGTCAGCTTTAACAGCCTAAGAGCCACTTTGCAATTGAATGGAGTCAGAGAGCCACAAAGAAAGAACCAACAAATGGACTGCTCCTCTTCCTTGGCTACAGCCATTTCTAAGGCAAATTCAGACCCACAGAGAGCTGAACTTTTGCGGGCCTGGGGAAGGTGCTCTAGCTGTGTACTCTGAGAAAACCTCTGCTGGTCCTCCCTTTCCTGGGAAGGATATGTGAGGATTCCCCACACTTTTTTCCCACGTTAAAAGAATGTCAGTAAGAAAACACAGCCTTCTCTGGGTTGCTAGATCTGTTGTATCAAATGGGCGTTGAGGGCCGGCCGAGTAGTGCGTTGGTTAAGAGTTGGCTTGGGACACCAGCTCTGAGCAGCAGGGCCCTGGTTTGGATCCCACATGAGGGCCAGTGACGCTACACCCTCTACAGCTAAGATGGTGAACAACAGCTCGACCAGGAGCTGGGCTGCTGTGAGTCACCAGCGACGGCGTAGGCTGCAGTGGGGCTGGCCAGCAGCCAGCGTGAGCTGCCATGAGTGGCCATCCAATGGCCGGCGAGCGACTGCCTCACCCGGGGAGAGCGCAATGATAATACCAACATGGGCCGAT